GAGAGAGAGAGAGAGAGAGAGAGAGAGAGAGAGAGAGAGAGAGACTGAGACTGACTGGGCCTGGCATGGGCTTTTGAAAATTCAAAGTCTACCCCCAGTGAGATATATCTCCTCCAACAAGGCCACACCTTCTAATCCTTCCTAAACAGTCTATAAACTGGGAACTAAACATTCAAATATATGACCCTATGAGGGCTATTCTCATTCAAACCACCACACATATAAATTTTAAGGTTGTTTTTTCTAGTTCTGTGAAGAATGCCATTAAATTTTGATGGATTGCATTGAATCTGTAGATTGCTTTTGGTAACAGCCATTTTTATAATATTGATTCTGCTAATTTATGAGTAGGGGAGGTCTTTCCATCTTCTAGTGTCTTTAATTTCCTCAGTTTCTTAATGCTTTTATTGTAACTGCCTTTCACGCCATTGATTAAGTCTATTTCTATGTTTTTCTAGGTTGTGTTGTTTGTTTTTGAAGCTATTGTGAATGAGATATTTTCCCCCATGGATTTCTTTCTTGGCATGTTCTTATTGGTAGACAGAAGAGCTACCCATCTTTGTGAGTTGACTTTGTATCCTGATACTTTCTTGCAAATGTGTATGAGGTCTAAAATTTTTCTGGTAGAGTGACCTCTGTTTGAGGTCTTTTAAGTGTAAGTTCGTGTCATCTATATGTTGGGATAATTGACTTCTTTCTTTTCTATTTGGATCCTTGTAATTTCTTTTTCTTGTCTTAAAGTTCTAGGTATGACTTGGAGCATTATACTGAACAAGAGGGGAGTCACTGGCATGCTTGTCTCATTCTTGATTCTAGAGGAAATCCTCTGGGTTTATTTTTCCAGCCCATATTGTTGACTTTAAGTTTGTCACATTGTTATGCTGAAGCATCTTCTTTTTGTTCCTAGTTTCTTTGTGGCTTTTACATGAAGGAATATTGGATTTTGTCAATGGCCTTTTCTGTATCAGTTGATATAATTTGATCTTTATCCTTAAGTCTATTTATGTGCTGAATTATACTTATTGATTTGTGTATGTACCTTGTATCCCTGGATGACACCAACTTTGTCATGGTGTTATGAACTTCAAGATGTATTCTTAAATTCAGTTTGCAAGAGAGTTATTACAGATGTTGGCACCTGTGTTCTCCAGAGAAACTGGTACATAGTTTTCTTTCTTTGTTGTATCTTTATCCAGCTTTAGTATGAGGGTAACACTGACTTTAAATTAGTTTGATAGTGCTCCTCCACTTCTATTTTAGAGAACAGTTGGAGGAGCATTGGTATTAGCTCTTCTTTAAAGGTTTGGTAGAATTTATGATCGACTCATCTAGTCCTGGGCTTTCCCCACTTTGTCACAATACTTTTAATTGTTGCTTCAGTCTTTCAGGGTTTTTATGGCTTTGTTGAAGTTGTTTATGTCTTCTTGATTTAATTTTAATAGCTTATATAGTTTTTAAAATTCAAGTTTTTCAAGTCCCCTTAATGACCCTGGTGTTTTTTTATTGGAACTTGTAATAACCACTCCGTTAAAATCTCTATTTATGTCACTGTGGGACTTCTGTCTCCTTCTTTTGGTTAGTTTGGCTAGGGGTTTGCCAATCTTTTTTAAAAGTGGACATCATGACTTAGTTTGTTACAAAAATGTCTTGGGCAAATCTAATCCATTGTTAATCAGTTATTGGCTGATCTCTCAGCACCTAAAGTCCATTGTCACTGTTTGTTATTAACTCATTAGTTTTCTCTCTTTTTCATGTATTTAAAAATTCCTTTTATTATCTGACATTTTCATAAAAGCGTATCGTGTGCTTTGCTCACACCCACCCCCATTTCCTCCCCTCCAGTTCCTCCCTTGTTCCCTTGCCGCTCCTCTCACTTCCTGTGCTTTGTTTTAAGCTCACTGAGTCCGCTGAGTGCTTGCCTGTATGGAGGGCCCTCAGTTGGAGCATGAGCAACACCTCCAGGAACACACCCCTAAAGAAACTGCCTCTCAGTCCACCAGCACCCATCAATTGCCAGAACTTTCTTTTGGGCAGGTCTTGAGAATGGACTCACAACCAGCGTGAGTTCATGAGTGCCACAATCCTGTCATGCCCAGTAGATACTACTTCATGGCTTGCCTCTACCATCCACAGCTCTTACATTTCCCCACCCCCTCCAGCATAATGATCCCTGAGCCTTGGAGGGGAGGTAGATGTCCCATTTAGAGCTGAGCAATCTACAGTCCTTATTTCTCTGCATACAGACCAACTGTGGGTCTCTGGATTGATAGACATCTACTTCAAAAAGCAGCTTTTCTGATGGGGGTTGAAAGATAACCTATTCTATGGGTATAAGAGTGAAAACTTAGTTGGCAGTTTATTTCTATGTCCATTCAGGACAAGAATAGACTTAGACGGCCTGGACTTAATGGCTCCAGGCAGGTCTTGTGGAATGGGACTTAACACCAATCAGAAAGTGATTGGTTACTCCTACAACATTGGTGGCACTGTTTCAGCAGTGAGGATATCATGCCAGGCTAGTTATTGTAACTCACGAGGATCACAGCTGGGTAAGATTGATAATTTTTTTATTTATCAATTGTTGATAAATTATTGATTGATTTTTTTCTCCCCTGACAGAACAGAACCATTTAGTGCCAAGAAGGCCATCCAGTAGGGATGAAGCTTCCAGGTGAGTACCAGCTTGATTTGAGGGACATTTCTGCTATCATTTCATTGGCTATATTCTCTAAACCTTTAGTGTTTGTCTCCACTCTTGTCTTTTACTACATGGATCCTTACATTTGATCTCTATTGTGTCCCAGAGTTCTTGAATATTATAGTTCAAGGGACCCTGGCCAGCTTGAGCATGTGAACATGGCTAGTTGAGTGAACATGGCTCTGGCAGGCCTTGCCCTTCTTTCCCATTCTTTCTGCCTTGCTGAAAACCACTAGATTACATTCCTTTTTTTTTTTTTTTTTCTTTTTTGGTTTTTCAAGACAGGGTTTCTCTATGTAGTGTTGGTCCCTGTCCTGAATCTTGCTCTGTAGACCAGGCTGGCCTCAAACTCACTGAGATCCACCTGGCTCTGCTTAAAGGCTTGCACCACCGCACCCTGACAGATTACATTCTTGAAGATAGCTAGACCCAAGATCTATTCTCTTATTTGGCCACTCCCTCCTCCTAAGGCTGACTGCTAAGGTCCAGCTATCAAAGTATTGAAGTCCATCAATCAGAAGCCCCCTTTGGCTCACCTAATCAACCTGTTCAAATAAAATTAAACACCTCATCCTAACACAGGGTTTCCCATTTTACCTTTATAAACCGCCATTTTCCCATGTGCCACATCTGTCTCCTCTCTATCCAGAGGCTGTCCCTTGTCCCCCCAGGACAAATATCCCTGCCCCCACCCCCTTCTTCCCTTCTCCTTCTCCCTCTTCCTCTATCTCATGTCTTTGTTTCTTATTCCCTGCCCTCTCTCCCTCTGGGGCAAGTACATCTCCTTTGTGCTGAGAACTTGGCCTTGGAGGTCCTGACTTTCTCAGATCTGATAATGTTTAGGGAAGCCTCCCTCCTCCTTCACTCACTCAACCACTTCCATTCAGTAAATTTCCTCTGGTTATAGCTTTAAAGATCTGTTTCACTGAAGCCAGGAAATGTTCATACCTCTTAACCCAAAGCCATAAGCCTTTTACTAAATCTATTCCAGCTGTCTTACAGGTTCCTGGGGAAAGTTCTGCTACTGTAGCAAGAAATCTGGCCTGATGAAAACTAACCATCTCCAGAGCCCATGTTGACCCCATCCATCTTTCCAGCATCGTTTGCAGACTCACTCCTCCCCTGACCTCCAGAGAAACAGCAGATGCCATGGCTTTTGTACTCCTGATTCGGCATGCCATTCCCCCAAGCTCCTGGAACATCGATGCAGCAACCTGCCTTCTCAGCTGTCAAGGAACAGACACCTAAGGCTCCTGCCGTGTGTGACTCCTGGCTTCCCCCTCCCCACTTTACCCCTTGTCAGCATGAAGCAGCCTCGAGAATTCAGCGCCCTTGTTCCCCGACTTGCTATCCATAACTCACCTTTTTTATATAATCAGTGTTAGTCTTTTGACCTGCCCCTTGGAAACCCACCCCTTGGGGACCCTCCTAGCGTCCTGATGTAAAGAGAACTGCCCTTCCACGCCCCATGACATGTGCACCCTCAAACCCCCCCCTCTTTCTTTCTGCCTCCCTCTTTCCCTATCTTTCTCTTTGTCTCTCTACTATAATAAACTTATTTCCACGTGGATGCAGTGCCTGGGGGATGAGTGACTATCCATGTGCCACAACCCAGCGCTGCATCTGCCCGGCATGTTTTCCCTCACACGTGGGATACCCTGCCTGGCCCCCTCGTGTAATATCCTAATATGTGTCCTTTCAATAGTCGTGCTTATTGACTATTTTTCCTTATTGGTGTTTGAACATAGTATTTCATCAGCCTTGTCTTCCATTTATCTTTTTTTTCTTTTTTTTTTTTTTTTTTTGAGACAGGGTTTCTCTGTGTAGCTTTGTGCCTTTCCTGGAACTTGCTTTGTAGACCAGGCTGGTCTCCTGAGTGCTGGGATTAAAGGCGTGCGTCACCACCGCCCGGCCTTGTCTTCCATTTATAATACTCTTTTTTTTTTCTTGTTTGGTTGAGCTTATTGATGATATTTCCCATTATGTTGTTTTTATTTGTGTTGGTGTTCTGTTTTTTGCAGGTCCATTGAAGAAAAAGGGTCACTCCAGAATGTAATTTCAGGCTTAGCAGAAAGCAGCAAGGGGACTCAGTCTCAATGGACTGACCACTCGTGGCTTTGCAAAGGCCTCCTTTATTGTTACACAAAAAAACACCTTTAGCAAACCAATTTCTGCACACCAAAAGCTCTTATCTGGAGTTGTTTGGAGCAACCATTTACCTATGTAATTCTCAGCCATGAGACCTCCCAGCTTGCCAGGTTCTCTCAAAACTAAGTTTTGCAAAGGTTCTGGACTCCTTCCAGAGGAACTCTGGTAAGAATCAACTGACTTTAAATGAAAGCTCACTCAAACCCTAGGTACTAGTCCTCGGGAATTCAGTCAGATGCAATGGCTCTGTGAAATCTCTTGCATATTTGATTCATTGAGTTTTTAATTTCCAACATTTGTTTTTCAAAAATCTCAGTTTCCTTGCTGATATTTTCTTCCACATAACTGACTGTTTACATCTAGATTGCTCATTTTCTCATCCATTTTTGCTGACTTTTTTTCACAGTGTTTCTGATCCTCCTATCCAGGTCCTGGATTGACTTTGTTTGTTTGTATCCTCTTTGAGGTCACCAATCATCTTACCAGAAAACTTTTGAAGTTCATGTGACTTATAATCTATTTCAGTGTCTTTGAGAACAGTAGTGGAGGAGTTATGAACTTTACAGGGATCATGTTGCCTTGCCTTTTTGTATTTCTTCTATTTCAGTGCTGTAATTTGTGCATCTTTTGGAAAAGAAAAAAGAAAAAGAAAAAGGAAAAAAATACACCAAGTCCGATTTGTGTTGCCCATATACTCATGGGTCAAGGACAAATTCCCAGCGGCTATCCCCCTAAAGATAACTGAGTCCTGTCCTCCCCCACCCCCCACCCCTGCCAGAAGTCATTAACTTCAGCACCTTTATTACAATTTTTAAGAAATGCCTTTAATCCCAGCACTTAGGAGGCAGAGCCAGGTGGATCTTTGTGAGTTCGAGGCCAGCCTGGTGTACAGAGCAAGATCCAGGAAAGGCGCAAAGGTACACAGAGAAACCCTATGGTGATATTTTATTTGTACTGAAATGTGATTTTATTTGTATGTTAATAAATAAAGTTGTCTGGGGGTCAGAGCTAATAGCAAGCCATAGCAGAAGTCTGGCAGTGGTAGCACATGCTTTTAATCCCAATCACATGACAGGCTGATCTCTGTGTGTTCAAGGACACCACCAGCATGGAGACACACACCTTTAATCTCAATACCAATCATAGAAGACCTGGAGGTCTGTATAGATGGGCAGTGACGAGGAGGTCATGTGGTTGGGTTTACAACCAATGAGAAAGTCAATAAAAAGGACAAACACACAGGAAGTAGGTCTCTTGAGGAGGGAAGGTCAGGAGCGGCAGTGAAGGATAAGGTTTTTAGCGCTTAGCTATTACTCTGACCTCTTGGGCTTTCATCTCTGCATTGGCTCTGTTTCTTATTTAACAAGATGGTTACATCTATAAAACCCTGTCTTGAAAAACCAAAAAAAAAAAAAAAAAGCAAAAAACAAAAACAAGCCGGGCGATGGTGGCACACGCCTTTAATCCCAGCACTCGGGAGGCAGAGGCAGGCGGATCTCTGTGAGTTCGAGGCCAGCCTGGGCTACCAAGTGAGTTCCAGGAAAGGCGCAAAGCTACACAAGAGAAACCCTGTCTCGAAAAACCAAAACAAACAAACAAACAAACAAAAAAAAACCAAAAAAACAAAAACAAAACAAAACAAAACAAAAGAAGAACTCTCTTCATTGATTTTTCTGTCTGGACTGTTCCCCGCACCTTGAGCCGTGGAGGTGGGGTGGTGGGGTGGTCGTCACAGAAGCCTTCAATGTCTCTCATTCTCAATTATGAGGCTACCACTGCAAAATCTTCCTTGCCCATCACAGACAGCAACAGCATGGGTCATGGACTTCCACGTGGTTTCTGGCGCAGCACAAACCACCAGGTGAGGTCCACAGGCACCAACCCAGGCCACTGACATCCACACGTCCTCCAGTGGTAATATGGACCACGGACACCAACATTGCACAGGCCGTAGTCCTCAATACTGTCTCTGGGGGCAACGAGGACCACAAACATCAACCTGGCCCCTGGCAGCAGCACGGACCATCTTTCGAGGAGGACCAATCCAGAAAATGAACCATTTTCCATCTTGGATATCCTGCCATTGTTCAGAGCCAGGGCAATCGTGGGATTGGGCAGAGGCTGTGTGAGCTCCAGGCCACTGCCCACCACGCTGCCAGCCCCACTCGGGGATGTGCTCCTCCATCCACGGCAGCCGTGTTTCCCACACCTGTCACACTACCGCACATCTCCAGTTCCACCTCTCTCCACCGCACTTCCGGCTCAATTCTGCCATCTTTCCCACTTCGCCATCCCACATTTATTCATCAAAGTGACATTGCAAACTTCAGTGTGACACTGTAGGTTTTTGCCCAAACAGCTTTACATGCAAATGCTAATTGCCATGAGTCATTGACTCAAGGTTTCTGGTTTCTGAAGCACCATAAACACTGAACTATCGCTGAGACTCATCTAGGATATCATGGTGGCCGGAGTCAGGCTGATCTTGCCGGCTGGGCCGTGCGTCTTGGGGCAGCATCCTAGAGAGATCAGGGCCACTGCTGCACACCTCTCTGTCCTCAGTGCCCACTGCCCTGCTGGCTCACCGGTATGACCATTGTACTTGCAGCCCACAGCCAGTGTGAGCCTGAACTCTCCTCTCTGCAAAGGGCAGCTCTGTGCTGCGGGCCAGACCAGCCGGACCGAGTCTCCTGGCAGACAGAGGACCGGACCTACTCAGAGCAATACTTTGTCAGTTGTGGCCACGCTCCCATAATGCTCCCACACCTGTTGCCTCAGCCTCTTCTCTCCTCCACTCCCTAGCTATGCTCCGCCATCTTTCCTTCCAATTTCATGAGTCCACTCTTTTTCTTTTCTTTTCTTCCTCCCTGAGGCCGGAATTCTCTGTGTAATAGCCCTGGCTGTCTTGGAACTTACTCTGTAGACCAGGCTGGCTTTGAATTCACAGGGATACACCTGAATCTGCCTCCTGAGTGCTGGGATTAAAGGCGTGCACCACCACTGCCCAGCTCATCTTTTAAATTAATTTTTTTTCATAATTTGATCACTTTCTCCTTCCCCAACTCCTCCAAGATCCTCCCCTCATCCACCCAACTTTTATTCTCTTTTTCTCATAAAAACAAAATGCAAAAACACCCCACAAAAACATAAAAATGAAAACCAAAAACAATCAAAAGACCAATGTCTTAGTTAGGGTTTCTATTGCTATGAAGAGACACCATGGCACAGCAACTTTTTTTTTGAGTTCTTTTTTTTTTAATAGAAAAATATCTTTTTTATTTTTATTTCTGAATGCCGTTTATTGAAGGCAGGGAGGAGGTTTTAAATACAGGCTTACAGCACAATGGGAAAACCCCAGAGGGCAGAAGTTCGCTACCAATGTTTTACAATCTTGACACAGCAACTCTTACATAGGGAAATATTCATTTGGGGTTGGCTTACAGTTCAGAGGTTTAGTCTGTTATTGTCATGGTGGAAAGCATGGCAGTGTGCAGACAGACATGGTGCTGGAGAGGTGGCTGAGAGTTCTACATCTGGATCCGCAGGCAGCAGGAAGAGACTGAGCTTGTCTTGAGCTTCTGAAACCCCAAAGCCCATCCCTAGGGACACACTTCCTCTAACAAGGCCACACCTCCTCATCATACCACTCCCTATGGGCCTATGGAGGCCGTTTTCATTCAAACCACCACAACCAATATGACAAAGACACCAAAACAAAGTAAGAGTCTCCTGCCCCAAAAGAAACCAAACCAACAAAACATTTGAGTTCATTTTGTGTTGGCCAACTACTGAGCATGGGAGCTACCCTGAAATGTGGCTGATATATCCAGTGACCCTCTAGATATTGGAGGGAACTGACTTTCCTTAGCCAGAGGGTGTCAATTGTAAAGAGCTTCTTGGTTAGAGGCGAGACACCTTGTCCACTTCCCCTTATCAATGCTGGGAGCCTGTCTAGCTTAAACCTCTCTGTAGGTGTTGTGTGCTGCCAGCCTCTGTGAGTTCATATGTGCATCAGTCCTGTTGTGTCTAGAAGACAAGGCAGGTGGGTAATTTTTTTGAGCAGACTATTTTTTCTTGTTGTTGAGACAGGATCTCATGTAACCTGTATGACCCTGAATTCGATCCTCCTGTCCATTTCTCCTAAAACTTCCGATTACAGCCATGTGCCCCAACTTTGAGCAGCCCACTAAGTATAAATGGGGTTTTTCCATCCTGACTGCCCAGTCCCAAATAAACACATAGAGCTTTATATTAATTATAAATGCTTGGCATTCTGTATGCTGTGGATGTGTGCTGCTCTGATTGGTTGATAAATAAAATGCTGGTTGGCCAGTAGCCAGGCAGGAAGTATAGGTGAGATAAGCAGACAAGGAGAATTCTGGGTAAGAAAGGCTGAGTCAGGAGTCACCAGCCAGACACAGAGGAAGCAAGATGATAAGGCAGAACTGAGAAAAAGTACCAAGCCATGTGGCTAAACATAGATAAGAATTATGGGTTAATTTAAGTGTAAGAGCTAGTTAATAATAAGCCTGAGCTAATGGCCATACAGTTTGTAATTAATATTAAGCCTCTGTATGTTTATTTGGGTCTGAGTAGCTGCAGGACCAGGTGGGAGAGATTCGTCCCAACTGCAGGACCTGACTACTACACTTGGCCAATAGCGCCGGCAAATTACTAACTAACTCTTACATTTATTATTATTATTATTATTATTTTTGAGACAGGGTTTCTCTGTGCAGCTTTGGAGCCTGTTTTGGAACTCACTCTGCAGCCCAGGCTGGCCTCGAACTCACAGAGATCCTGCCTCTGCCTCCCGAGTGCTGGGATTAAAGGTGTGCACCACCACTGCCCGGCTACCTCTTACATTTAAATCAATCTAATTATATTAATCTATGTATTGTCAGGTGGCTTGTGGCTTTACCTGTCCTCTAGCATCTTGCTTCCCTGGTGGCTGGCTGGCATCTCCCTGACTCTACCCTTCTTCCCCCCAGCATTTAGCAATTTCAGTTTGGCTTTCCCACCTATCTTTATTCTACCTTGCTATAGGCCAATCAGTTTTTTTTAAATTAACCAATGAGAGTAATACATATTCACAGTGTACAGAAGGATTATCCCACAGCAAGTAAGGCTCAATCCCAAGTACTACTCATCAAGGATGACAAACTGGTATAAGTGGCATAAAACCATAGACAATGTAAAAGCACATTTAACATCAATCAGCCCAGCAACATGTAACAAAATGACCGTGCACTGGAAAATGACTAAATGGCTGCACAGTGCGATGTGAAGTTGACAATTATTTATGCAAATGTGCAGACAGCATGAATGAGACAAGGAGAGGAGGGGGATGGAGTGGAAAGCAAGGCAAGATTCGATAAGTAAAAGGAGAAACAGGCATAGGAAAAATATTATGGAAAGGAAAAGATCAGAGATTAAGAAAACTACAAAGTTTAAAAAAAAAGAGGGACAAGAGACAGCTCGCTGGGTAAAAGCATGAGCCAGAAAAGCTTGATGACCTGAATCCAATCCCCAGAATCCAGTTTGGTCTCCCAGCTGGTCTCAGGTTCAAAGCTACCCAGTTCCAGAGCATCAGTTGAGCTCTGTTCCCAGATGGCCACCAAGGGCAGGGGTCTTTACCCTTTTTGGTGTAAGCTAGTCTCAGGCTGCCTGCACCTTGTGTCTGGTCAGTGGCTGCCCTTCCTGCCTCCTACAGCTGCACCGCTCAGAGCTGTGGCAGGCCAAAGCGCAGCTCCCTAACTTGATGTGTCCAGATCTTAGGCCCCCTGGGTAGCTTAGTTCTCAAGAACAAATTTTCTCAAGACTCACAAACCCATCTTTAGAGTCACATAGTATGACAAAATGAGATTCCTCTTT